TGTGACTCGTTCAGTCTATTTGATTAGCGAAATGACATCGATCGGTAGCACCTTTTTCTTTCTTCAGGACCTCGTTTGATGGACAGACAAGATGATCGATCCGCCATGACACGAGTTGACGGAGGAGGCTGTGGTGATGGACAGGTGAGCTTGGCAAACCCCGTGGGTGTTTGTTAGCGAGATTTTTCGGAGAAGTGTGCGCGCGTGTGCGAAGCCTGTCTAGCTCAGTTAGTAGAGCGCAAGACTCTTAATCTTGTGGTCGTGGGTCCGAGTTCCACGGTGGGCGACTACCAATGATGTGATCGAAACGGATGCAGTCCCGATCTCTTTTAGAGCCGCACTTTTCCGTCTCTTCGTACAGTGGTATATCAGCTGGATTGGCTGAAGAACAAGGCGCACCATTCTCGACCACTCGAATCGGGCAGGCTGCGAGTCGGACGGTACCGCGTGTTCGCAACCCAGTCCATACTATCTCTTCTCAGATAGAAACCAATGGGCAGTACCATGGTGATGTAGTAACACAACTCGGTTCGACTGCCATGTGACTCGTTCAGTCTATTTGATTAGCGAAATGACATCGATCGGTAGCACCTCTTTCTTTCTTTAGGACGTCGTTTGATGGACAGACAAGATGATCGATCCGCCATGACACGAGTGGACGGAGGAGGCTGTGGTGATGGACAGGTGAGCATGGCAAACCCCGTGGGTGTTTGTTAGCGAGATTTTTCGGAGAAGTGTGCGCGCGTGTGCGAAGCCTGTCTAGCTCAGTTAGTAGAGCGCAAGACTCTTAATCTTGTGGTCGTGGGTCCGAGTCCCACGATGGGCGACTACCAACGATGTGATCGAAACGGATGCAGTCCCGATCTCTTTTAGAGCCGCACTTTTCCGTCTCTTCGTTACGGTGGTTTATCAGCTGGATTGGCTCCAGAACATGGCGCACCATTCTCGACCACTCGAATCGGGCAGGCTGCGAGTCGGATGTTACCGCGTGTTCGCAATTCAGTCCATACTATCTCTTCTCAAATAGAAACCAATGGGCAGTACCATGGTGATGGAGTAACACAACTCGGTTCGACTGCCATGTGACTCGTTCAGTCTGGTTGATTAGCGAAATGACATCGATCGGTAGCACCTCTTTCTTTCTTTCTTTAGGACCTCGTTTGATGGACAGACAAGATGATCGATCCGCCATGACACGAGTGGATGGAGGAGGCTGTGGTGGTGGACAGGTGAGCATGGCAAACCCCGTGGGTGTTTGTTTGCGTGACTTTTCGGAGAAGTGTGCACGTGTGTGCGAAGCCTGTCTAGCTCAGTTGGTAGAGCGCAAGACTCTAAATTGTGTGGTCGTGGGTTCGAGCCCCACGGTGGGCGACTACCAATGATGTGATCGAAACGGGTGCAGTCCCGTTCTCCTTTAGAGCCGCACTTTTTCCGTCTCTTCGTTACGGTGGTTTATCAGCTGGATTGGCTCTAGAACAAGGCGCACCATTCTCGACCACTCGAATCGGGCAGGCTGCGAGTCGGACGTTACCGCGTGTTCGCAACCCAGTCCATACTATCTCTTCTCGGATAGAAACCAATGGGCAGTACCATGGTGATGGAGTAACACAACTCGGTTCGACTGCCATGTGACTCGTTCAGTCTATTTGATTAGCGACATGACATCGATCGGTAGCACCTCTTTCTTTCTTTCTTTAGGACCTCGTTTGATGGACAGACAAGATGATCGATCCGCCATGACACGAGTGGATGGAGGAGGCTGTGGTGGTGGCCAGGTGAGCATGGCAAACCCCGTGGGTGTTTGTTTGCGTGACTTTTCGGAGAAGTGTGCACGTGTGTGCGAAGCCTGTCTAGCTCAGTTGGTAGAGCGCAAGACTCTTAATCTTGTGGTCGTGGGTTCGAGCCCCACGGTGGGCGACTACCAATGATGTGATCGAAACGGATGCAGTCCCGATCTCTTTTAGAGCCGCACTTTTTCCGTCTCTTCGTTACAGTGGTTTATCAGCTGGATTGGCTGAAGAACAAGGCGCACCATTCTCGACCACTCGAATCGGGCAGGCTGCGGGTCGGACGTTACCGCGTGTTCGCAATTCAGTCCATACTATCTCTTCTCAGATAGAAACCAATGGGCAGTACCATGGTGATGTAGTAACACAACTGGGTTGGAATGCCATGTGACTCGTTCAGTCTATTTGATTAGCGACATGACATCGATCGGTAGCACCTCTTTCTTTCTTTAGGACCTCGTTTGATGGACAGACAAGATGATCGATCCGCCATGACACGAGTGGATGGAGGAGGCTGTGGTGGTGGCCAGGTGAGCATGGCAAACCCCGTGGGTGTTTGTTTGCGTGACTTTTCGGAGAAGTGTGCACGTGTGTGCGAAGCCTGTCTAGCTCAGTTGGTAGAGCGCAAGACTCTAAATCGTGTGGTCGTGGGTTCGAGCCCCACGGTGGGCGACTACCAATGATGTGATCGAAACGGATGCAGTCCCGATCTCTTTCAGAGCCGCATTTTTTCCGTCTCTTCGTTACGGTGGTTTATCAGCTGGATTGGCTCTAGAACAAGGCGCACCATTCTCGACCACTCGAATCGGGCAGGCTGAGGGTCGGACGTTACCGCGTGTTCGCAATTCAGTCCATACTATCTCTTCTCGGATAGAAACCAATGGGCAGTACCATGGTGATGTAGTAACACAACTCGGTTGGACTGCCATGTGACTCGTTCAGTCTGGTTGATTAGCGAAATGACATCGATCGGTAGCACCTCTTTCTTTCTTTCTTTAGGACCTCGTTTGATGGACAGACAAGATGATCGATCCGCCATGACACGAGTGGATGGAGGAGGCTGTGGTGGTGGCCAGGTGAGCATGGCAAACCCCGTGGATGTTTGTTTGCGTGATTTTTCGGAGAAGTGTGCGCGCGTGTGCGAAGCCTGTCTAGCTCAGTTGGTCGAGCGCAAGACTCTTAATCTTGTGGTCGTGGGTTCGAGCCCCACGGTGGGCGACTACCAATGATGCGATCGAAACGGATGCAGTCCCGATCTCTTTTAGAGCCGCACTTTTTCCGTCTCTTCGTTACAGTGGTTTATCAGCTGGATTGGCTCTAGAACAAGGCGCACCATTCTCGACCACTCGAATCGGGCAGGCTGAGGGTCGGACGTTACCGCGTGTTCGCAATTCAGTCCATACTATCTCTTCTCAGATAGAAACCAATGGGCAGTACCATGGTGATGGAGTAACACAACTCGGTTCGACTGCCATGTGACTCGTTCAGTCTATTTGATTAGCGAAATGACATCGATCGGTAGCACCTTTTTCTTTCTTTCTTTAGGACCTCGTTTGATGGACAGACAAGATGATCGATCCGCCATGACACGAGTGGATGGAGGAGGCTGTGGTGGTGGCCAGGTGAGCATGGCAAACCCCGTGGGTGTTTGTTTGCGTGACTTTTCGGAGAAGTGTGCACGCGTGTGCGAAGCCTGTCTAGCTCAGTTGGTAGAGCGCAAGACTCTTAATCTTGTGGTCGTGGGTTCGAGCCCCACGGTGGGCGACTACCAATGATGTGATCGAAACGGATGCAGTCCCGTTCTCTTTCAGAGCCGCATTTTTTCCGTCTCTTCGTTACGGTGGTTTATCAGCTGGATTGGCTCTAGAACAAGGCGCACCATTCTCGACCACTCGAATCGGGCAGGCTGCGAGTCGGACGTTACCGCGTGTTCGCAACCCAGTCCATACTATCTCTTCTCGGATAGAAACCAATGGGCAGTACCATGGTGATGGAGTAACACAACTCGGTTCGACTGCCATGTGACTCGTTCAGTCTGGTTGATTAGCGAAATGACATCGATCGGTAGCACCTCTTTCTTTCTTTCTTTAGGACCTCGTTTGATGGACAGACAAGATGATCGATCCGCCATGACACGAGTGGATGGAGGAGGCTGTGGTGGTGGCCAGGTGAGCATGGCAAACCCCGTGGGTGTTTGTTAGCGATATTTTTCGGAGAAGTGTGCACGCGTGTGCGAAGCCTGTCTAGCTCAGTTGGTAGAGCGCAAGACTCTTAATCTTGTGGTCGTGGGTTCGAGCCCCACGGTGGGCGACTACCAATGATGCGATCGAAACGGATGCAGTCCCGATCTCTTTAGAGCCGCACTTTTTCCGTCTCTTCGTTACAGTGGTTTATCAGCTGGATTGGCTCTAGAACAAGGCGCACCATTCTCGACCACTCGAATCGGGCAGGCTGCGAGTCGGACGTTACCGCGTGTTCGCAATTCAGTCCATACTATCTCTTCTCGGATAGAAACCAATGGGCAGTACCATGGTGATGGAGTAACACAACTCGGTTCGACTGCCATGTGACTCGTTCAGTCTGGTTGATTAGCGAAATGACATCGATCGGTAGCACCTCTTTCTTTCTTTAGGACCTCGTTTGATGGACAGACAAGATGATCGATCCGCCATGACACGAGTGGATGGAGGAGGCTGTGGTGGTGGCCAGGTGAGCATGGCAAACCCCGTGGGTGTTTGTTTGCGTGACTTTTCGGAGAAGTGTGCACGCGTGTGCGAAGCCTGTCTAGCTCAGTTGGTAGAGCGCAAGACTCTTAATCTTGTGGTCGTGGGTTCGAGCCCCACGGTGGGCGACTACCAATGATGCGATCGAAACGGATGCAGTCCCGATCTCTTTTAGAGCCGCACTTTTTCCGTCTCTTCGTTACAGTGGTTTATCAGCTGGATTGGCTCTAGAACAAGGCGCACCATTCTCGACCACTCGAATCGGGCAGGCTGCGAGGTCGGACGTTACCGCGTGTTCGCAACCCAGTCCATACTATCTCTTCTCGGATAGAAACCAATGGGCAGTACCATGGTGATGGAGTAACACAACTCGGTTCGACTGCCATGTGACTCGTTCAGTCTGGTTGATTAGCGAAATGACATCGATCGGTAGCACCTCTTTCTTTCTTCAGGACCTCGTTTGATGGACAGACAAGATGATCGATCCGCCATGACACGAGTGGATGGAGGAGGCTGTGGTGGTGGCCAGGTGAGCATGGCAAACCCCGTGGGTGTTTGTTTGCGTGACTTTTCGGAGAAGTGTGCACGCGTGTGCGAAGCCTGTCTAGCTCAGTTGGTAGAGCGCAAGACTCTTAATCTTGTGGTCGTGGGTTCGAGCCCCACGGTGGGCGACTACCAATGATGTGATCGAAACGGGTGCAGTCCCGTTCTCTTTCAGAGCCGCACTTTTTCCGTCTCTTCGTTACGGTGGTTTATCAGCTGGATTGGCTCTAGAACAAGGCGCACCATTCTCGACCACTCGAATCGGGCAGGCTGCGAGTCGGACGTTACCGCGTGTTCGCAATTCAGTCCATACTATCTCTTCTCGGATAGAAACCAATGGGCAGTACCATGGTGATGGAGTAACACAACTCGGTTCGACTGCCATGTGACTCGTTCAGTCTGGTTGATTAGCGACATGACATCGATCGGTAGCACCTCTTTCTTTCTTTAGGACCTCGTTTGATGGACAGACAAGATGATCGATCCGCCATGACACGAGTGGATGGAGGAGGCTGTGGTGGTGGCCAGGTGAGCATGGCAAACCCCGTGGGTGTTTGTTAGCGATATTTTTCGGAGAAGTGTGCACGCGTGTGCGAAGCCTGTCTAGCTCAGTTGGTAGAGCGCAAGACTCTTAATCGTGTGGTCGTGGGTTCGAGCCCCACGGTGGGCGACTACCAATGATGTGATCGAAACGGATGCAGTCCCGTTCTCTTTCAGAGCCGCACTTTTTCCGTCTCTTCGTTACAGTGGTTTATCAGCTGGATTGGCTCTAGAACAAGGCGCACCATTCTCGACCACTCGAATCGGGCAGGCTGCGGGTCGGACGTTACCGCGTGTTCGCAATTCAGTCCATACTATCTCTTCTCGGATAGAAACCAATGGGCAGTACCATGGTGATGGAGTAACACAACTCGGTTCGACTGCCATGTGACTCGTTCAGTCTGGTTGATTAGCGAAATGACATCGATCGGTAGCACCTCTTTCTTTCTTTCTTTAGGACCTCGTTTGATGGACAGACAAGATGATCGATCCGCCATGACACGAGTGGATGGAGGAGGCTGTGGTGGTGGCCAGGTGAGCATGGCAAACCCCGTGGGTGTTTGTTTGCGTGACTTTTCGGAGAAGTGTGCACGTGTGTGCGAAGCCTGTCTAGCTCAGTTGGTAGAGCGCAAGACTCTAAATCTTGTGGTCGTGGGTTCGAGCCCCACGGTGGGCGACTACCAATGATGTGATCGAAACGGGTGCAGTCCCGATCTCTCTTTAGAGCCGCACTTTTTCCGTCTCTTCGTTACAGTGGTTTATCAGCTGGATTGGCTCTAGAACAAGGCGCACCATTCTCGACCACTCGAATCGGGCAGGCTGCGAGTCGGACGTTACCGCGTGTTCGCAACCCAGTCCATACTATCTCTTCTCAGATAGAAACCAATGGGCAGTACCATGGTGATGGAGTAACACAACTCGGTTCGACTGCCATGTGACTCGTTCAGTCTGGTTGATTAGCGAAATGACATCGATCGGTAGCACCTCTTTCTTTCTTTCTTTAGGACCTCGTTTGATGGACAGACAAGATGATCGATCCGCCATGACACGAGTGGATGGAGGAGGCTGTGGTGGTGGCCAGGTGAGCATGGCAAACCCCGTGGGTGTTTGTTAGCGATATTTTTCGGAGAAGTGTGCGCGCGTGTGCGAAGCCTGTCTAGCTCAGTTAGTAGAGCGCAAGACTCTTAATCTTGTGGTCGTGTGTTCGAGCCCCACGGTGGGCGACTACCAATGATGCGATCGAAACGGATGCAGTCCCGATCTCTTTAGAGCCGCACTTTTTCTGTCTCTTCGTTACAGTGGTTTATCAGCTGGATTGGCTCTAGAACAAGGCGCACCATTCTCGACCACTCGAATCGGGCAGGCTGCGAGTCGGACGTTACCGCGTGTTCGCAACCCAGTCCATACTATCTCTTCTCGGATAGAAACCAATGGGCAGTACCATGGTGATGGAGTAACACAACTCGGTTGGACTGCCATGTGACTCGTTCAGTCTGGTTGATTAGCGAAATGACATCGATCGGTAGCACCTCTTTCTTTCTTTCTTTAGGACCTCGTTTGATGGACAGACAAGATGATCGATCCGCCATGACACGAGTGGATGGAGGAGGCTGTGGTGGTGGACAGGTGAGCATGGCAAACCCCGTGGGTGTTTGTTTGCGTGATTTTTCGGAGAAGTGTGCACGCGTGTGCGAAGCCTGTCTAGCTCAGTTGGTAGAGCGCAAGACTCTAAATCTTGTGGTCGTGGGTTCGAGCCCCACGGTGGGCGACTACCAATGATGTGATCGAAACGGATGCAATCTCGATCTCTTTTAGAGCCGCACTTTTTCCGTCTCTTCGTTACGGTGGTTTATCAGCTGGATTGGCTCTAGAACAAGGCGCACCATTCTCGACCACTCGAATCGGGCAGGCTGCGAGTCGGACGTTACCGCGTGTTCGCAACCCAGTCCATACTATCTCTTCTCGGATAGAAACCAATGGGCAGTACCATGGTGATGGAGTAACACAACTCGGTTCGACTGCCATGTGACTCGTTCAGTCTGGTTGATTAGCGAAATGACATCGATCGGTAGCACCTCTTTCTTTCTTTCTTTAGGACCTCGTTTGATGGACAGACAAGATGATCGATCCGCCATGACACGAGTGGATGGAGGAGGCTGTGGTGGTGGCCAGGTGAGCATGGCAAACCCCGTGGGTGTTTGTTTGCGTGATTTTTCGGAGAAGTGTGCGCGCGTGTGCGAAGCCTGTCTAGCTCAGTTGGTAGAGCGCAAGACTCTTAATCTTGTGGTCGTGGGTTCGAGCCCCACGGTGGGCGACTACCAATGATGTTATCGAAACGGATGCAATCTCGATCTCCTTTAGAGCCGCACTTTTTCCGTCTCTTCGTTACAGTGGTTTATCAGCTGGATTGGCTCTAGAACAAGGCGCACCATTCTCGACCACTCGAATCGGGCAGGCTGAGAGTCGGACGTTACCGCGTGTTCGCAATTCAGTCCATACTATCTCTTCTCGGATAGAAACCAATGGGCAGTACCATGGTGATGGAGTAACACAACTGGGTTGGACTGCCATGTGACTCGTTCAGTCTATTTGATTAGCGAAATGACATCGATCGGTAGCACCTTTTTCTTTCTTTAGGACCTCGTTTGATGGACAGACAAGATGATCGATCCGCCATGACACGAGTGGATGGAGGAGGCTGTGGTGGTGGCCAGGTGAGCATGGCAAACCCCGTGGGTGTTTGTTTGCGTGACTTTTTCGGAGAAGTGTGCACGCGTGTGCGAAGCCTGTCTAGCTCAGTTGGTAGAGCGCAAGACTCTTAATCTTGTGGTCGTGTGTTCGAGCCCCACGGTGGGCGACTACCAATGATGCGATCGAAACGGATGCAGTCCCGATCTCTTTAGAGCCGCACTTTTTCTGTCTCTTCGTTACAGTGGTTTATCAGCTGGATTGGCTCTAGAACAAGGCGCACCATTCTCGACCACTCGAATCGGGCAGGCTGCGAGTCGGACGTTACCGCGTGTTCGCAACCCAGTCCATACTATCTCTTCTCAGATAGAAACCAATGGGCAGTACCATGGTGATGGAGTAACACAACTCGGTTCGACTGCCATGTGACTCGTTCAGTCTATTTGATTAGCGAAATGACATCGATCGGTAGCACCTTTTTCTTTCTTCAGGACCTCGTTTGATGGACAGACAAGATGATCGATCCGCCATGACACGAGTGGATGGAGGAGGCTGTGGTAGTGGACAGGTGAGCATGGCAAACCCCGTGGGTGTTTGTTTGCGTGACTTTTCGGAGAAGTGTGCACGCGTGTGCGAAGCCTGTCTAGCTCAGTTGGTAGAGCGCAAGACTCTAAATCGTGTGGTCGTGGGTTCGAGCCCCACGGTGGGCGACTACCAATGATGTGATCGAAACGGATGCAGTCCCGTTCTCTTTCAGAGCCGCACTGTCTCTTCGTTACAGTGGTTTATCAGCTGGATTGGCTCTAGAACAAGGCGCACCATTCTCGACCACTCGAATCGGGCAGGCTGCGAGTCGGACGTTACCGCGTGTTCGCAACCCAGTCCATACTATCTCTTCTCAGATAGAAACCAATGGGCAGTACCATGGTGATGGAGTAACACAACTCGGTTGGACTGCCATGTGACTCGTTCAGTCTGGTTGATTAGCGACATGACATCGATCGGTAGCACCTCTTTCTTTCTTTAGGACCTCGTTTGATGGACAGACAAGATGATCGATCCGCCATGACACGAGTGGATGGAGGAGGCTGTGGTGGTGGCCAGGTGAGCATGGCAAACCCCGTGGGTGTTTGTTTGCGTGATTTTTCGGAGAAGTGTGCACGCGTGTGCGAAGCCCGTCTAGCTCAGTCGGTAGAGCGCAAGACTCTTAATCTTGTGGTCGTGGGTTCGAGCCCCACGGTGGGCGACTACCAATGATGTGATCGAAACGGATGCAGTCCCGATCTCTTTTAGAGCCGCACTTTTTCCGTCTCTTCGTTACAGTGGTTTATCAGCTGGATTGGCTCTAGAACAAGGCGCACCATTCTCGACCACTCGAATCGGGCAGGCTGCGAGTCGGACGTTACCGCGTGTTCGCAATTCAGTCCATACTATCTCTTCTCGGATAGAAACCAATGGGCAGTACCATGGTGATGGAGTAACACAACTGGGTTGGACTGCCATGTGACTCGTTCAGTCTGGTTGATTAGCGACATGACATCGATCGGTAGCACCTCTTTCTTTCTTTCTTTAGGACCTCGTTTGATGGACAGACAAGATGATCGATCCGCCATGACACGAGTGGATGGAGGAGGCTGTGGTGGAGGACAGGTGAGCATGGCAAACCCCGTGGGTGTTTGTTTGCGTGATTTTTCGGAGAAGTGTGCCGCGTGTGCGAAGCCCGTCTAGCTCAGTCGGTAGAGCGCAAGACTCTTAATCTTGTGGTCGTGGGTTCGAGCCCCACGGTGGGCGACTACCAATGATGCGATCGAAACGGATGCAGTCCCGATCTCTTTAGAGCCGCACTTTTTCCGTCTCTTCGTTACAGTGGTTTATCAGCTGGATTGGCTCCAGAACAAGGCGCACCATTCTCGACCACTCGAATCGGGCAGGCTGCGAGTCGGACGTTACCGCGTGTTCGCAATTCAGTCCATACTATCTCTTCTCGGATAGAAACCAATGGGCAGTACCATGGTGATGGAGTAACACAACTGGGTTGGACTGCCATGTGACTCGTTCAGTCTGGTTGATTAGCGAGATGACATCGATCGGTAGCACCTCTTTCTTTCTTTCTTTAGGACCTCGTTTGATGGACAGACAAGATGATCGATCCGCCATGACACGAGTGGATGGAGGAGGCTGTGGTGGTGGCCAGGTGAGCATGGCAAACCCCGTGGGTGTTTGTTTGCGTGATTTTTCGGAGAAGTGTGCCGCGTGTGCGAAGCCCGTCTAGCTCAGTCGGTAGAGCGCAAGACTCTTAATCTTGTGGTCGTGGGTTCGAGCCCCACGGTGGGCGACTACCAATGATGTGATCGAAACGGATGCAGTCCCGATCTCTTTAGAGCCGCACTTTTTCCGTCTCTTCGTTACAGTGGTTTATCAGCTGGATTGGCTCTAGAACAAGGCGCACCATTCTCGACCACTCGAATCGGGCAGGCTGAGGGTCGGACGTTACCGCGTGTTCGCAACCCAGTCCATACTATCTCTTCTCAGATAGAAACCAATGGGCAGTACCATGGTGATGGAGTAACACAACTGGGTTGGACTGCCATGTGACTCGTTCAGTCTGGTTGATTAGCGACATGACATCGATCGGTAGCACCTCTTTCTTTCTTTAGGACCTCGTTTGATGGACAGACAAGATGATCGATCCGCCATGACACGAGTGGATGGAGGAGGCTGTGGTGGTGGCCAGGTGAGCATGGCAAACCCCGTGGGTGTTTGTTTGCGTGATTTTTCGGAGAAGTGTGCACGCGTGTGCGAAGCCTGTCTAGCTCAGTTGGTCGAGCGCAAGACTCTTAATCTTGTGGTCGTGGGTTCGAGCCCCACGGTGGGCGACTACCAATGATGCGATCGAAACGGATGCAGTCCCGATCTCTTTTAGAGCCGCACTTTTTCCGTCTCTTCGTTACAGTGGTTTATCAGCTGGATTGGCTCTAGAACAAGGCGCACCATTCTCGACCACTCGAATCGGGCAGGCTGCGAGTCGGACGTTACCGCGTGTTCGCAACCCAGTCCATACTATCTCTTCTCGGATAGAAACCAATGGGCAGTACCATGGTGATGGAGTAACACAACTGGGTTGGACTGCCATGTGACTCGTTCAGTCTGGTTGATTAGCGACATGACATCGATCGGTAGCACCTCTTTCTTTCTTTAGGACCTCGTTTGATGGACAGACAAGATGATCGATCCGCCATGACACGAGTGGATGGAGGAGGCTGTGGTGGTGGACAGGTGAGCATGGCAAACCCCGTGGGTGTTTGTTTGCGTGACTTTTCGGAGAAGTGTGCACGCGTGTGCGAAGCCTGTCTAGCTCAGTCGGTAGAGCGCAAGACTCTTAATCTTGTGGTCGTGGGTTCGAGCCCCACGGTGGGCGACTACCAATGATGTGATCGAAACGGATGCAGTCCCGATCTCTTTTAGAGCCGCACTTTTTCCGTCTCTTCGTTACAGTGGTTTATCAGCTGGATTGGCTCTAGAACAAGGCGCACCATTCTCGACCACTCGAATCGGGCAGGCTGCGAGTCGGACGTTACCGCGTGTTCGCAACCCAGTCCATACTATCTCTTCTCGGATAGAAACCAATGGGCAGTACCATGGTGATGTAGTAACACAACTGGGTTGGACTGCCATGTGACTCGTTCAGTCTGGTTGATCATCGAAATGACATCGGTGAGCTGCACCTCTTTCTCTCTTTTGGACCTCGTTCGATGGACTGACAAGATGATCGATCCGCCATGACACGAGTGGATGGAGGTGGCTGTGGTGGTGGCCAGGTGAGCATGGCAAATCCCGTGGGTGTTTGTTTGCGTGACGTTTCGGAGAAGTGTGCACGCGTGTGCGAAGCCTGTCTAGCTCAGTTGGTAGAGCGCAAGACTCTTAATCTTGTGGTCGTGGGTTCGAGCCCCACGGTGGGCGACTACCAATGATGCGATCGAAACGGATGCAGTCCCGATCTCTTTTAGAGCCGCACTTTTTCCGTCTCTTCGTTACAGTGGTTTATCAGCTGGATTGGCTCTAGAACAAGGCGCACCATTCTCGACCACTCG